TAATTTAAATTCGTGAAATAAGAGCTTCGAAAAAATTTATCTGGGAGATCGTTATTCCGGCTTTCCTGACGAGAGAAATTTATTTTCCGTATTAAAGAGGAAGAATTATCTTCGCGGGAGAGATTGATACGTCCCAAGAGAGAGAGAGAGAGAGAGAGAGAGAGAGATGTTAAGTGATTACATTTGTCAACTTCTTTCCCTCCAAATTACGATATGCCACTCGTGATATAACGTGAGTTCCGAGTCGTGACACGTGACACGCAGTGAATTAACTTTAAACGGTCGCGAGGTCATCCAATCTCTTCTCGCGGACCCCCGCCGTTAATACATCGAGCGACCTTTTCTTCATGCGATTTATATCTGCGCGGTTTTCGATGGAGCGCTGATCTTTCATCCGGAATCTGTGTGATTCCGGCTTTTAATGGGAACGTCCGAACAGCATTAAAAATTTTACGCGGGGAAAAATACTTTTTCCCTCTTGAGAACATTTAGAAACGATGCGAGGGAATCAATGTGCAACACGCTCAAGCATACGTGTAAATATAAACAAAAACAAACTGTTTTGCGGCGGAAAGATGAAAGAACAATTTTATTTATATTTAACTACATCCTTGCTGCTTATACGACACTTCCATTAAGAAGGAAATAGATTGGTCGAAGAAACCACAGGCGAAAGGTGGCTTTTATTAGGTTTGGGACAGCCTATGTATGAAGACAGTTCTAGGCGGTCCCCCGTAGTACCCATGAATAAATTTGAAATTAACTTTCGAACGCGCGATTTCCGCGTTATATGAGGCGCGACGAACGCCGTTCGCAATCTCGGGGCTTCTTACAGGAAAGACGTCCTTTATGTCGCGAAGGGTTCGCTCGGAATATTCCCTGAGTAAAGTCTCGTCCGAGATTACGAGCAAGACTTTCTATGATGGCGCGGATCATAAAGTGAGTCTGCCAGTGTTTGACCGATCCAATTCAAATTTAAAAAACGTGTAATCTCCGATAAAGAAAAGAAAACTCGACGTCATCACCACACCTATAACCGTATCGACGATGGTGGATTGCCTGTTGTTAGAACGCTGTTTTGTCATTGCGTAACGAGCGGCGGTCACGAAGCGGTGGCCGCGGGCCGACCGGCCGATTGGCGTATGGCTCGCATTTTGCATAAATTACGCCTTCTTCTGTCCAACTTGCGTGATCGCGCGACGTTATTGTCGAAATAACGATGCGGCGCGGGTCGCCGCTGCAGGCGCGGTGAAACAAATAGACCGGTGGCACGTGAATCGTACGCGAGACGTTCCCACGCACGCCGCCGACTGCTGAATTTCGATTCGCGCCCGTTAACGATACGCTGATCGATGTCGATAACATGTCGATAAGACTTGGTGCGAGAAGAGGAAAAAAGGAACAAGTTTGAGACGTTTACACGTCGAGACACGCGGGAACTCTTTAATTCGGCGGCACGGGATTCATGATAATCGACGCAAAAAATATCGCGGCACACGACGTCGATACGACGGCGCGACGCATTCGGTTCCGTCGAACCGTACTCGTAAATTTCAAGCGGATGTTCGTTAAGGAGAGCCGATACTCGTCACGAAAGAGGCGAGAATGGGCAATGAGAGCGATGAGAGAGAAAACGTGTCCTTCGTTTGAGAGGCGCGGGACAAAAGATGAATTCGAGACCGATGACCTTTTCCTCGAGGGAGAGAAGACACGGAAGAGAAAGAGAGAAAGGGAGAGAGAAATGGGAAGAGGAAAGGAGGAAAAGAGCAACGACAAAAGAGAACGGTGGAGAGTGAGTGAGTGAGTGAGTGAGGGAGGGAGGGANAAAAAAGAAAAGATAAAGAGAAATAAGGAGCAGGCAAAGAAAGAGCGTCCGAGAACGAGCGCCGTTAGTCGATCGGGCGCTCGAAAAGGCTATTTAACATTCCACGCTTGGAAATAACGCGTTTCAGGAATCACCTGGCGATTGACTGGCAGTGCTAGTTTTCAAACTCGTTTCCCTCCGCGTTCGTGCCTCCGTACGCTCCGTTGTCCCGTCGCTCCCTTGCTGGACCCACGGTGGTCCCGACTCACTCTCTTTTTATTTCTCCGTTCATCGCGCCGTTTCTCTGACAGCGAACAATCGGTCGGCTTTTTCCCGCGAGAGTAAGATTCGCACGAGACACAGGTCGTACACACGTCTAAAGGCCGGCCGGTCGGTCGATTTGTCTGTCAGTTGGTCGGTCGGTTGGTCGACCGGCGAAACAATCCCGCGACCGTAAAATGACAGCTCGCGCAAGTAGGTCAGGTACTGAGTGGTGACCGGAGGGGAGAATGGGACAGAGCGAGATGAAGCTCTCTCTTTCTCGCTGCCCCGCGGAACAGTTCGGAGCAAAGTTCTCGGCAAATCGCGATCGCTCGAGCCACCATGTCACGATCTCACAGATAACGAACGGCGCACTCACCTTGCTGCAAGCGGGGCTGAGGTGACGGCCCGTGACAATTTGAAACGGCCGCACTGAACACACTCCATGCCTACCTCCTGTCGTACACGCACAGACAGGCACCGTACTCCGTATAGCGGGCAGGCGAGAGGGCGGACAGCGGGAACCGGAGAGGGTATACGCCTCGTTTTTCGGAACTTTCGCAGTCGGCGGGATGCGCCCCGACGCACCGTCTCCCGTTAGACGTGGACAACAAGCATCGACGCGCACAAAAAGCAGATGATCACGACGCGGAAGCGCGAGAAATAGAAAAATACAAGCACCACTCGCACTGTAGCACGTCGCGTCGCGAAATACGCGTGCGAGTCGGTCCCACTCGGCCATGCTCGGCTTGGCTCGGTCGCTATCGGCGCGACTCGATTCGCGACCGTGGCGACGTCGCGTGGCGTATGCGCCAAACTTTTCGACCTACCGAAAAGCGCGCGCGTTTCGATGATGTTACGTGGAAATGGCGTTTTAACGAGAGAGAGAGAGAGAGAGAAAGAGAGAGAGAGAATAATAAATCGTGGAACATATATCTAATATATTTCATATACATACAGCATACGACATGTACGATATTAAGGGACTAAATGTTATTCCCAATATCAACATCGTTAAAAATTGACAGCCATTTTAGAATGTATACAAAACTGACGTTATATGGACAATTACCGTATAACACAACAAGAATATTGCCCGAAAGTGGTTAATAATGTATCACAACATTAATACTACATTATAGGCTGTCTAGATGTTTATATACGATGATCGAAACAGTCGGTAATGTCTATGTTTACTAATTCGAATCGCCGTATCTCGAACGTCATTGCTGATCACGAAATTACGTGCAAGATAGTTTCTAATCTTATCGATAGCAACAACGATTCAGTTCGATGCAGTGTTGTACACTAAAATAGATAAATGGCCAGTTTTCTGTTCCTGAACTAGGTTGCACTTTTTACCTTTAGAGTGAGACAAATATATGTCGCAGGGAGATGATAAAAATGGAGATTTGATCAAATCCCTAAGGTAGATGATCAAATCACGGGTAGGATGATTTCGTGAATTGATCATCTGCCTTAGGGATTTGATCAAATCTCCATTTTCATCATTTCCCTGCGACATATACAACATAGCGTTGAAGAGAAAGAACAAAGTTTCTGTGTAGCTCTAGTTCAAGAACAGAAAACAGGCCTAAAACTACAAACTTACCTCACTTATTTCGTCAAATAGAAGAAACAACCGTATACCGCACTTCATTAGCACTACTCCATCTTTTCAACGGCAACGCGATGAACACTGGGTACGCGTATCGTATAATCTGACTTGCATAGACCGATTTATGCGCTAAAACAATCATCCATCACTCGAACCGACTCTACCGACACTCATTTGCGCGCAGAATTCATTTTTGACAGGTGAAAAGATACAACGGGTACGGAGCGGACACGACCAGAGTTCGAACTGCCGCGAAACTATGCGAAGCTGCCGCGAGCGGCACGGTCATGTGATCGTTATTTGAACGATGTTTCAAGAGAAATGAGTCAACAATATTGTAATTGGACAGTTGTATCGAGAGTTTCTATATTTCGAAACTCAATTACTGTGATGTGTGTTCATTGGCCTCTGTTCTTTATAGTTGAACTGATTGCACTAGTTCAAGAAATTTATGCACACCGTGAGAATCTTTTACGTATGTTTCGTACGTGTCGATGTGTATGTAAATTTGTTGAACTAGTGCAACCAGTTCAGCTATAAAGAACAGATCACATATTCAGTTATGAACGAATCGTGACGCGACGTGTTGGAGCACCCGTTCCGCATTTCTCGAGTTGTCAACTCGCCTCGTGCGGTTTCGCGTGTAGATTATTATTGACCAAGAATGCCGAGAGTTTCGCGTGTTCGTTAAGTAGTCGCCGGAAACATATCTTGAGAAGGAAGTAAGCGGGATTGCTGAAGTATTACGCATACATTACATATACAGCTCAGAATTCAAATTGTTTCCTCTTACATTTCTGATACGTCGAAGAAGTATCGTGCTCGAAATCATCGAGTTTGTCGAAAGTGAGTTTCGTGTGTTTATTATGTGTGGCAAAACATAAGGAAATTATTGAAAGCGACATGTCGCAGAACTTACCGAGTGAGGAATCGCATCATTGTCACGTAATAGTGGTTTGAAGTTCAAATGATTATCTTTTTGCGTCTTCGACGCGTTGCGTAAAATATCGTCGGAAATGCCGGAAGAAATTTTCGTGCATAGTATCATGGAAGATATCGTTAAAAGGCCGTCAGAAGCAAGTATCTCACAAAATGAATCATCCAAAGGACGAATTGAAATTTCCGGTTTTCATCACGTTGTGGCAGTTGGAGCTTAAATCGCAGCGTTCTACTTTTTCATACCGCCGAAGGAAGGATCGGTAAGTATATTTTATATTTCTTTCAGTATTGTTTTCGAAATCTGTCCATGCGAAATTGTCTTACAATATATTTTTTACGATATCAACGTCGGGTACAGTTAATGCTTTTGTGAGAATATATTGTCAAGTTTATATATTTATTAATATTATAATAATATGTATATATATATACAATATATATACAATTAAGTACAATTATGTAACAAAGTGACGAAGTTCGGCGTTACAACGCCGCATACTTTTGGCATGCCAAAACTTGTAGCAACTTATCTCTGTATGTTGGATCTAAAATTTCAACCAATTCTTTTTCGATTGTCGGCACGTTGCTCATGTAACTGCGTACAATATCTTTGAAGGATAGTGTAGCAAAATTAACATCTAAACGGTAATTTATCCATTTCACAATATCCAGTGGTAGTGTGCTATCAATAGAATACCGTTGTACAACTGACTTTGTCAAATCATAGCACATTTCTGATATTCTTACGGGCTCAAAGACATCGTAATTTCTGCATTTGTTGAAGACCTGGTGGTAAATTTTAATATCATAATTTTAATAACGGAATTTTAATTTTTTCTATTGCATCTTGCTTTATCAGTTTTAACATCATCTGTTTTTTTGAAAAAAAACTTTATAATGAAAATAATTATAGAATGTCTTTGACATAAAAATATTTTTGCAATCTAACTTTCCCCCTCGCAGGACTATTATATTATTTTAGAAAATATAAACTTGAAATTTTTCTTGAGATATTTATAAGATATGTTTTGTGACATCTACTAGCTTATCTCATCTATAACGCTTACATCAGTTTCATCCATTTCGTAATCTGTATCTCCTAATAACGACACACTCCAGCAAAAGAAAGCACTGATGGCTATTTCGGGACACTTGTCAGCAATTATATCGTTGAATTTCCGAAAGAATACCGGTAACATTTTCTCTATACACTCCAATTCATTGGATGGTTCAATATTGCAGATCAGTTTGCATGCTTCGCGTCGTATATCCATATTATCATCGACTAATAATTGTAATATCATTGTCCACCAATCCAACACGGGTTCTGTAAAAAGTCTTTTTATTATTGCACTGTTATTTTGATCAAACTCTATTAAATTATAATAATTAACAAGCATACGGCATCGCTCGGCATTAATGTCGCCTTCATTAAAAAGATCATAGAGTATATCAAAAACCGACAATCTGAAATCTTTGCACAACGAACCAATCCAATTGCTGTCGCAGACTTTTCTGTAGATATCCTCTTTATATTCCATTTCGAGCTTTTTATCCTTAAAATATAAACGTCAACATATATTACACAAATATATTTACGCAGAGCAAAGAAAAACAAAAGTATAAAAATGAGCAAACCGTTAATTTGTGAATCAGTGTTGCCATGCATTTCCCAAGCAACCGTAAATAATTAACACGTTGCAAATAAACATTGTTCGCGTTATGCGAATGTATTTTCTGCAACACTAAGATGCAAATTTCACGTCTTTTATAAAAAGCATCAGTGATAAACCATTCATCCGCATTCATTAGGCAATTGTACAAGAAATCGAAAAGTGCGTCTTGCACATCGGGATTATGTTTGTATAAATTTTTGGTGAAATCGACAGCTACATGAATAGCGTAATTGCCTAGTAAATTTCTTTGTTTACTTTCTTGTTCTCTTGTTAAGACTTCGGAAACGGTGCTCCAAGCAATGCTTTGTATTTCGGCTTCCGGCGTGATCAAGAGTTTTGAATATATCTCGAACATTTTACTCTGTCCATTATGTACTATTTGCAAGAAATTTGAATATTTTCCGACGCACAGCATGAGTCTGATTACGGATATTTTGTACAACTGCTCGCCTGGCCACGGTTGCCCTGGCTTTGATAAATCCTTTTCTGTTAAACACTGCTGAAGAGTATGCAATATATCCTTCATTTTGCAATCATCGATTCTAAAGACATATAAAAATATGGTTTAGATAAATTTGCTCATTCATGCTTAACTCATAGATAAAAACAACTCATAGTTATGATGAAAAAATTATCTCACATGTCTTTCTCTGCTCTATATAATTCATGAAGGATATCGACGTATATGGTAGCTATCGGAAAACGATTGAACCCATCGGGTCTTCTCTTCAAGTAATTTAATATACATTGCAATATAGTTAAGAGATCTATGACTTCATAAGGTTTAAGTAGTTCTTTGTCGGACGGGAATTTCCATAAGATTTTAAGTATCTACAAAATTAACAAATTAGGAATTAATTTTTAATGACTGAATGAATACAGGTCATATTTCATTTTTTAATATCTTAAATAGTCTTAATGATATAACTTTCTGTACTCAATTTTTAATTATTATTTTTACATATAGTTTTTGTAGCTATCTTAATGCTTAAATCAATGTAGTAATTGGCAAATTTTGTCACACTTGCCTGCAGCAGGTAGCCGTGAATTTGGTTCGCCGAGGCTCGAAAATCTCGAACATCTTGAATTGTTTGTAAAACCAATTGAAGCAAATTTGTCAAAGTACCATAGACTGTACTTTCAGTTAATAACGGTACCAATGCTCTAGCTGCGAGCTCGCGTGTTTGATGTACGGGACTTTTAGCGCATTGTGATACCAAATTACGCAATTCATCTGTCTGGAAACACACACGTCGTCACGTTATTCTGTTTCTGAGAGAGAATTAAAATAAATTTCAAGATTGAATAGTTCATAAACACCTTCCAAGCGTTATCAGTTTCATGGAAATTATTAATGTATAATCGTGACAGTAACAACAAAATAGCTTGCACGTTCGACTTGATCATAGTATCATTGGTCGATATGAAAGTTCGCAATTCCTCCAGGATAAAAGGCAGGAGACTGGGATACCTTTCGAAAAATAATCTCCCTGTCATCGTGTTGCACGTCGTCAGATTAATGTGATCCTTAGTTCTTTGAACACCAAATATTCGAACTATAAGCGCACTAAATAACAACGTGGCTGCGTTACGTTCCTGTATTCCGATTAAAAATTATTGGTCGAAGTTTATATTTTAAAATTATTCTTTGCGTGAACAGAGTTAAATATATATTAATTAGGATATCTGTAGCTTTTATACGAGAATAATATAGCAACTTACCGCCCACGTTCTACCATCGTAATTTTTAAATGCCACTACTAAACCATCCGCGATGTAATTCTTAACTATGTCACCAAGCTGAGAGTGTCTAAATAAGGCTCTAAGGATATTCATGGAATGAATCTTTATCTCGGTAACATCAGGTTTAACTTCCCGATCATAGTATTCGTTCTCCATTCTCGGCTCCATTAAATGCTTATAGCAGGAAAATATTGAGTTTTCGTACATTATGCATTTTATTTTTTGCCATAAATTAACAGTATCTTCAAGCTTTGTAAATTGTAACAAGATTTTCATAACTGAGTGAAAGAAATGTTTCTTGGGATAGTCACCGTTCTTTAGTGCCGAGGACAGTACTGCCTATAAATTTCAAAAGTAAAAATAAGATAATAACTTGCCAAATTTTTTTTTATGCAATACGATTTTATCCTTCATTTTTTAGTACCTGTATCAAAAACGGAACACCCGCGCTTCTTCTTGTCGCGCATAATTTGGAATATCCTGGCATTAATCCTGTGATGCCTATTAATGTGTCGTGCAAGCATCGTATAGGAAGTATATTTAAAGTTCTATTTGCCAATTGCCATAAGCGCGTACATAGTTGATGGAAACCCACATACACTTGCTCAAACGCACCTCTGTGCTTCGTTTCGCATAATAATGAGACAAGATGTCTCATTATTTGTTCAAACTGTTAACACACAATCGATAAAATATCACGATTAAATCATGAAGGTGTATCTCACATATACATATGGATTATCTTACTTGTTCCTCCGTGAGCAGTCCATTCTTAAATTCATTCGTTTGTATTGACGCTTTGGTGGCGAATAAACCGAACAAGTGACTAACTTCTTTGACCGTACGCCAAGAACAAAGTAACACCATCTGCGGTGTTATAATCTCTTTTCCGGGAAATGATGTATCATTGTCGAAATTTAATGTTTCCAAGTCCATTGGTAAATGGCCTTCTGGCGAGGAATTATTTATTACTACAGAAACGGTGTGATTTAATTCGAAGCATAATAAAATAATATTTGCCACAGTATCTTGCCATAATTTGTCCATTCCCGCATCCCTAAAAGTAAAGCAATACATTAGAATTTTACAAAAATTAATAGCTTAACAAGTTATCTTTTATACCTTAAGTTATAGTCGGAAAGCAAACTTCTTATGCAAAACAGGTATCCATACAGGGAACACTTAACAATTACCATTCCAATGTTCTGTTTTGCTAAAGCTAATGCCTCCTGAAAAGAAATAAAGCAATATATTCTACACACATTTTACACAAACATTGTAAACATATAATTTCAATAATGTTAAAATAATAATAATAATATTACGTATCTACACACTTGTAATTTTCTGTACAATAGCAAGACTAGCTGTAATATCATTGCCTCTGTAACATTATCATCTATATTATAATAGTCACAGAGAACGTTTTTTATAACAGGAGATAGCATAGATATTTTTAACATGTATGCAGCTGTAATACTGTCAATAGGTCGTATACTGTTGCCTAATTCAAGTGCAACTTTAATTATTAGTTGAACTTGTGACTTTGAATGTAAGTTTAAAAGTATTGGATTCACATATTTTAACAATTGATATGCCATTTCTTTGTTGGGTTCGTACGTGTCTAGTAGTAAACATTGGAATATTGTTTCTACTTGTTCCTTCCTCCATTCAATATCTTTAAATTCATTGTAAAGGAATTCTTGCATAAGCAAAAGTATCTGTAAGCTGGAACGTCTACGATGGTATGTTGCATCTGGATACAGATTGTTCACACAAATTTCACGTAGATTTATAAAAAATGTAGTATAATCCTTTATATTACATTCAATTTGTTCAGACATTTGATAAAATAAAGCATTTTCACATGCTTCAGAAGTAATATTTTGTTTTTTGTGATGATTTCTCATTTTTTCTTGTTGTGTCCATCGTCTTCGCATCACAGCTAAGCTATCCCTTAATCGTTTTAAGGCCTATAAAAAATAAAAATAGAATTAAATTTAAATTTTTTAATAAGAGTTATTTTTTTCTCGTTTGTTTGAGTAAGAGATATTTTTTTCTTACTTTTTTAATAAAGGGTATATATTCCATCTTCTCACAAAGATTGTATTTTAGAAATAATAAAATCATATCAAGTTCCTTGGAAGTAAATCCTAATGTACTTTTTCTTGACTCTACCAAGAGTGCCAGCGTCTTTAATCTACACTATGTGATAGAAAAATATGCCAAATGATTTCTTTACTACTTAATTTTAATGTTTTCCTAATATATATTTTAATAATGAGTATTATTTGTAAAATATTATATAAAAATATCTAGTAATAAATATTTATAAAAAAATATATAAAAATATATAAAAATTTATAAAAAATATAAATAATTACTGTTAAGACTATACATTATTATAATTTCATCGATATTTGTGCTGATGTAGCTAAATTAAATAATTACCTAATTTATATTTAAATATTATATATTTAGTTTTTATTTTGTTCTTGAAATTGAAATATTTCATCTTACTAAAGTATGTGTGATGAGTCTATCTTATACTAAAATTGAAACAGTGAAGATTAGCATAGATCCCTACACAAGGTATATCTAAATAGAAACTAATATAAAAAATAATGGTAATTATAAATTCAGATAACAATATTTTAAATAAGTAAATTATTAATTAACAACATACCTTGTATAAGGACCTTTGCTAATTTTCACTGTTTTTACATTTTAATATAGTAAGTAATTAGTAACTAACTTATCGCACACACTTTAGTAAGGCGAAGATTTAGTTAGTACTCATATTTATTTAATACCATGATTTAATATCACGAAACATGCCCATAACAACAACATTTCATCGTTATGATAAGTTTCCTAATCTATCAAGTCGTCAACTTTGACGATTCGCGGAACAGAGCAACACTTTTTTCTGCCAGATTCTTTCGTTTCGTGCAAAAACGCGTCGAATAAGCGTAATTTCATCGATATTTGTGCTGGTGTAGCTAAACTAAATAATTACCGTATTTAATTTTTTACCTCTTCGCTGTAATGTCCGACATACGTTTCTAAAACATAATATTCCAAAGTATTTCGCCATTTCAAAGAGTGCTGGGTACAATTTTCATCGATATCCAAAGTGCCATTTTGCTTTAATATTCTTAGGTTATTTAAATAGTGGCTTAAAGTATTTTCTTGATTTTTATTAATTAATTCTTCCATTGTTGGTACACGCAATAAATGGCAAAACGTAATCTTGTTTTTCCTTTTATTTATAGTGAGACAACATGTGACAGTATTATTTTAGGTTAGTTCTGTTCCATGAAAAAATTGTATCATATATGTAACACTATTATATGGCTAATGGAGTTCGGAGCGAAACCGCAACTACGGTGCGGGCAATGTTCGTCTGTCTTTATCACTGTTCAATTTGTTGTAAAGCGCATGCGTAACATTTGTCCTTCCATCATGGTCTAAACCAATACGATTGAGCAGACGCTATAATGAAAACTAATAATGTAAATTTGTAAGCTTATGTTTACCATCTGTTCGTATAATATGAGGACTCTGTCACGATAATACAAATATTTATTTTTCTTATTAATTATCAATTACTCAGTTCCTTTAATAAATCTGTTTACATTTTGTCACTACGCTTGTGCATTCACGATTATTAAACAGATCTTCTCTCATACTTTCTTATAGAGTCAATAACCGTCCATCTTCTATCCTTCAGTGTGGAGTTTACTCCCACTTACAGGAAAACTGCTGCGTTAGCTATATAGGGTGCGTTCGGAAAGACGCTATCAGCGCTATTTATTGCTAAAGACCGTTCGCGGAGCTAAAAGATAGTGCTAACAAACGCAGTCATGACGTCACTAGTGGTAGTGTGTTACGTCTTTACTACGCGCTACAAACGCTATTCCTTCCGAGGTAATGGTAGCATTAGCGTTTGCAAGTTCCGTGAACACCCAGAACTGCACAACATTGTATGTCATAGTTCTTGTACATGAATATCATACAATACGAGTACATCGTATTTATTATTTTATTATTATTCTCGTACGTAATGGACAGTTGCGTAGAAATAAAGCTTTAGTATGATAATAACGCAGTAATTAGTCTGTTCTTTTTAGCTGCACTGCTGAACTGGTGAAATAAGTTAGACAAAATATACTTGTCTCATTCTAACTTATTGAATCAGTTCAGCAGTGCAGCTAAAAGAACAGACTAAATGCTAACGTTACGCTAATGCTGTTCGTGGAGCTTGCTTTCGTTTTCGCGTTATTTGTCTCACGAACAGCATTAGTATTTACGTTTATAGCGCTAATAGCGTTTTCCGAACACACCCATAGTAATATACATATATGAGATAAGCGCAAGCGTGACATGGTAGATGGCGCACCAGTCTGCTACGCTAGTAGAGATCTCGGATTTGATTTCCCCATAGAACCAAAAAATCTTCATGCGCTTGTCGTAGCTTCTCTTCGATTGTCTGACAAACCACCATGAGTATTCATGGAAAAATCAATCTTCGAAAATTTGCCGTTCGAAACCAGCGTTTAAACTGTAAGTCCTATATGCATGTGTGTAATCTGCGTGCGCGTTACATGCGAGAGAGGTAGACCTAGGTCCTACTTGAGCTGTAGCTCCATTGATGATGATGACATATATGAATTGTATATAGTTGTTGGCGCGTAATAATTTGTCGTGTAGTTGGGTAAAACCTTAGTTCCTTTTACCGAACTAGATTTATTTCCTTTCTTTAGAACGAAATAAATATATAGGGTGTCCCGTGTAATGCGTCCGAAAATTATAAAATGGACCACAGGTCGAGTAGATAAACATGTGCTCTTTAGAGTTTGGCGATACGGTATTGATGTATAGAGAAATAGGCTTTTCCCCCAGAAAAATAAGGTTTTTCTCCACAATTTGCGGAGAAATCCTTATTGCCCTATGTATCGATATTGTATCGCTCAATTCTAGTTCTCTGTTCTTTATAACTATACTGCTGAACTGATGCAAAAGTTGAAGTGAGAAAACATATATTTGTCTCACTCTAATTTATTGCACTAGTTCAGCAGCGCAACTATAAAGAACAGACCAATGGTCGAAGTCATTTTTTGAACTACCACGTAAAGTTTCAAGTTATTAAAGAAAATAAGCGAACCAACGCGCGCGATGCAGTAGGCCGAACACATTGAAAGAAATATCTTCAATTGTACGCGCGTTATTGCCGTGATATTTGCCAATCATGGCGTTCTTCCGTCCGAAGCTACGAGACAGAGCGACGCGAAGAAACACAAATCCCGCGGAGGAACGTGGCGAACCGTGGTTCGTCACGATCGCGCGCACGGTCGAAGATATCTTTCTTTCTATGTGTTTCACCTACCGCATCGCGCGCGCTGCTCCGCCTATTTTCTTTAATAACTCGAAACTTTACGTGGTAGTTTGATAAATGACAGAAAAAAGTGTCGCTCTGCCCAGCGAAGCGAAATATTAAAATTGTTAAAGTTGACAAGTATGTAGGTTAGAAAATCTAACATACCGATGAAATGTGCTACTAGAATAGCGATATGAGCATGCTCCGTAGCCATATGCGCATATTTTGTGATCACATACGTATATAAAAAATGCGCAAATTTGAAAGTTATGTGTACTTATAATACATCACTTGAATTTCAATGATAAATGAATATAGATATATTCTAGCACATGCTGTGATGTATTTGCTTGTGATTCATAATACGTTCTACCTTGCGTAGAGGTCTTGCTAATCTTTCCAATAATCATTATTTTTAGTATATTATAGACTCATCTATTTAATAAAAAGAAAATTGAATAGATAAACCAACATATCTATTGAATTTTTGGCTTACTAAGTAGATATTGAAAAGATAACCATTAAAAATTGGGTTTGAGTTAGGTTATATCTTCCGGATGCAACCCTTCTGTAGGGTGGATAGAACTCTCCATTTATATCATACATTTTATTATATTTAAGTCTATATTATTATATATTAATTATATATTTTCAGTATTGTCAGTATATCTGAAAGCGGTGGACAATTCAAATTTTGCGCACTTTCAATCACGACGCATGCATGACGTGTGCCCACATCTTGTCGATATGACAGGTTTTCTAACCTAAACAGTCATCGATTTTAACAATTAGCTTTCTTTTTATCAAATTTTTCTATTTATGCAAAAACAAATCGATTGAATGTATTCTTATCCAAATTTAAGGTGAGAGGGTTAAAGTAAACATTTACCATGAATTTTCTTGTTGGACATTGTTGCATTTCGAATTGCATTGAAAAAAAAGTGTTTAAATCGTATTGAAACTGTGTATGAACCCAATTATAAATATTCTTTATTTAGAGATACAAATCGACACAAGCATTATTTTATCCTTATTCTATATTTTACGAATAACAAAAATAGGATGATGCTTGTGTTGGTTTGTGTCACTAAATGGAAAGCACCCATTTTATAGCGCATACAACTTTCTCGTAAAATGAGCTTTATTCTTTCTTGACATTTAGCGCGATCTAGTGGTGTGTTTTTAACGACACTAGTTATCTATTAATTGACTACCCTGTTGGTGTCGACATCTGCTCCGCAAAATACCTAGACTCATACAAAATAAAATTATATTGATGTATGAAAAATTGTGTGAAAGTAAAATTAACGAAAAATTTGTTTCCTTATTAAAATTAAATTTATTTTATTTCACTTTAAAGTGTCTGAAGGAATAAAATTAATCATAAGTTATTTACGCCTAGAACATAGAGCGAATATTTATTCCGTTAAAGTTCCACGGGATCAAGTTTTGGAAAATAAAAAAGTAAGCCCAAAGATAATTTCTCGATATTTATTTTCAACAAATTCTCAGTTTATTTATTCGGCTCGCTTTTCTTGTCCAATTCGAAAATTTCGTTCTCATATTTGAGTTACATTCAAAAGGCAGCGCTGTAATATGTAATCTCTCCTTCCTTCCCTCCCTCTCTCTCTCTCTCTCTTTCTTTCTCTCTTGAATGCACATATGTGATCAATAATGGCAGATGTTAAATAAGTATAAAGTCTGTCCACATGGCTATTATTTTGATTTGACCAAACTGATATCATTCCTCGTTGCCGCCGCGTGTGATAAGCGAGCGCGATATAAGGCAATGTGTTAAATGTACCGAGTCGCAGACGCTATACCGACCAGTTCTATTCTGCGATACAACCTGCCTGCACTCACATTTGTTCTGGCGACGAGCTTATCTGAGCAGTATACGTTACACATATCTCCGCTTTGCGCCCAGACGAATGACTGTCACTAAATTTAAAAGGCACCTCTCGCAACTCTCTGTAGCCTTATGCTCCGCCTGATGTGCAAAATTCTCTACCGTTATTTGACTCTTGCGAAAAAAATTCTCCTTGCGCGTTATTCTATCTAGAACAGAAATGAAATAATATTACTTAATGTTCGCGATTCTGAGAATAATTATATAATTATATTAAATAATAATATCATCTCTCTATTGTTTTGTTTATTCGTCCTTAAATACGAAGTCAAGCACAGATGGCGGCATAATATCCTCGTTGATGTACGCAGTACAGGAAAAGATGGATCTTCGGGAATTACGTGAGAGCCGTTGTCTTTCGTTATTTTAATTACGCGTCATCGTGGGAAGAATCCCAGAACATTTCCGACTATTCTTCGCGGTCGAAGTTTCTCCGGCTCCGCCTTTTAACCGAAAATGCGGCCGCGCGATTTCTATATCTAATCCCCGTCTTTGTCGCGCGATTCGCATAATTAAGTGTCATTCAGATTAGTTGGTACTTCTTTTACTTTCGCTAGGAATACGAGCGGCATTTATTTAAGAATTTATGTCGCTGACATAATTTTGAACATTTTTGAACATTTTTCAATGATCGATTATCCGTTAAAATGTCTTCACAATCGGCGAAATAGCACGAAATTTGAAATTTCGTAGTGAAATCGCAACTTGCTCAAGTTTTTTGTACTTCGCGCGTTTTCTTGACGCTCCGATTTCTTAGTTGTAAACAATCGTTCCTAATGCATACCATGCATATGGAATTCTCAGAAGCGACCACGAATCTCGCCTCACGCGAGGGTGGGTTACCCGGAGAACAAGTTTGCGGAATTTTCTTCTCATTTACGTCGGTCCGGGAAACGGCGCATTTTGCAACTCTCAATTAATTTCCGGCGAAACTATCCAGCGCTCAACGCAAGCAGATAGTTGTGAGCTGAGTACGCGCTGTTCGTAGATATCCTTCGCATCCGCTCGGGATATGAAACAACTTTACAATTGAACTTGGAATTGAATCGTGAAACTGTTCCGTATCGAGACTTTCGCCTCGGA